TGTTCTGAGTGAGTTGTATTTTTCTTTTTATTTCTTTTAAATAGAGAGAAATTTTGCACCTACAGCGAGATCTACACATTGATACAAGCAATTCTTTGTTTGGTGCACTCTAGGGATTTTGAATTTTGGAATCCATTTGGGGGGTTTTGCATCTAAGTGAGGTAGGGGTGTTTAATCCATAACTTCTTGGATTTTAGTGAATTATTCTCCATGTGTTGTTGTCTAGCATGCTATAACTGTGATGAAGTTTCTTTACTATGATTTAATTGTTGTATATGAAAATTATAATTATGTGTATTGTTGTTGTTGTGTGAGAAAAGCAGGCCTAAAGTGTTAAATTCCATGCCTTTGGTGCTTATTAATTTGCTAGAAATTGCTATGTGAAAGTATGTTGAATTGTGTAATATGAAATCTCTAAATATGTGTATTAATTGATTTGTATGAAAAGCATGTCTAATGTGTTAAATTCCATACCTTTGATACTTATTAATTTACTAGAAATTGCTATGTGTAAGTATATTGAATTGTGTAATATAAAATCTTTTATTGTCATTACATTGGAAAAGTATGTGACGTTCATGCATGACATTGGGCATGAAAAAGGAAAAAATGTTTTGAAAGCAAATGAAACTATTTTGGGGAAATTGTTTGAAAAGTGTTTGCGAAAACTCGGACGCCTAGGAGGCACCTAGTGGTCTGTGGTGTTAGTGTGATCTAGAGGGGGCTAGATAGACTCTAGTGTGGTTGAGCTACCCAGATTACGCCATAGAGGTGCCATGAGGTCAGGGAAGACTAGCCAACCCCTCCCTCGAGACGCCTTGGAGGTACCTTGGGTCGGATTACACTAACGGTTTGGAAGTTAAAACGGCAATGTTTCAGAAATGGGGAGCGACATGAGCATGGCATTGCACTTCATTGGCATACATGGTGTATTTGGGACTTAGATGACATTTGTGTTTATATTGGATGTTATGGTTATGGTTTACATCCCCTGTATAGTATGATCCCGTTTTCATGATTTCTATTCTCTATGTGGATTCACAGGGTCATAAGAGGTGTGTTTTAGGCACCTTCTACTGAGCAATTTGCTCACCCCTTATACTTAACATTTTTCAGGACACGGACAAGAAGTGGCGGACGACGCTCCTCCACATGGTTCGATGGGTTAGTAAACCGTTTTAACATACTTTATAGTTATGATCTCATTTTATTATTTATTTATTTATTTATTATTATTATTATTATTTATATATAAACCCTGGGATGACACGTATATTATGTATTGACATAGGACAGGATGGTAGTGTCCTTAGTTGACCTCGGGTTCGGGTAAGGACCCGGTTAGCGATTCGGACCCTCGGGTTCGGGTCGTTACACGTTTCCGGGTGAATGAGAAATTAGCTCTAAAGTGAGGTGTTTGATAAGCTTAAATAGGTTAGCAAAATGTGGGAAGTACTTGTCCCACATGGAAAAAATGTTGAAACCAATTGAAGTTTAAATAAGTCAAGCTTAGGCCTAATTGTAAAGTCCAGTTATTCTTTTTACTAAACGGAATTTTGAATTGGGCCTGTGTTTGGGCTGGGCTTATTTAAATGGGTGATTGGTTTTTTGAGTGGTTGATTTTTTGAATTTAAATTAAAAAATAACTTTTTAGTTTTTTCCAAAGGGTTGCACCTTTTTCCGAACCATCATAACCCATGGTTGCACCCACCCAAAAAGGCATCTTGCTGCCTATAAATACCCCCCTTTGGATCATTTGCAAATCACACCAATTCAGAATCATCTTCTCTAATTCCTTCTTCTCTCTTCTTCTAGTCTCTTGGTTCGAGCTCTAGTCTATAGGTTTGAGCCTTAGTCAGTGAGTTCGAGTTCGAATTCGAGTCAAAGAGTACTACATCGAGCCGGTTCACCTATTCCTTTGGTTTGCAGTGCTACTATCGAAGGAAGACAAGTCATTATATCCTGGGAGATAAACGCCACTGAGTCCGTTAGCACCATAGTGGGGCGAATCTGTCTTAAGGACATAGAATCAAATTATAGCCTCGACTTTTAATCAGGTTCATTTATTTTATAATTTTTTATTTTATTATATTAAACTATATATTATAAGAAAATATATATATATATATATAGATTATTATTTTTTGATAAATATATATAAACATTATATTCTTATATAATATTTAAATAAATAATACTACAGTATATGATATAGTTAGACCATATTTTGGACAACAATAACAAGGGGAACGTGTCCTACATCGGATCCAGATGGAAAAATGAATGGGTATATATGGATTGGATGTTAGCCCTACCTAATAGCTTAAGCTTTTGGGTCGGATCGCAAAGCACCCACCCATTACAGTTGGTGTCAGAGTCAGACACAATCCTTTATCCAGTGTCACGCTAAAGGCCCAGCCCTTGGTCTGTACACCCGGTAGGCAAGGTAACCCGAGTCGCAACGAGGGCGTTGTGAGTTTGGGTGTGGGAGAATGTAACAAGGGGGAGCTTGTCTCACAACGAATCAGGATGGAAAAGTGAATGGGGTATATACGAGTTAAGTGTTAGCCACACCTAATAGTTTAAGTTTTTTAGTCGGATCGCGAAACACACCATGATGAAGGTGGTGACAAAACAAGGAAGAAATGAGCTAAAGTAATCTTCATAAGAGAGAACATTACCTTAATGGATGGTTTGGAGGCTTACTCAAGCCTCTAAGTAAGTTTACTAAATCTATCGAATGTATCATCATATTCTTCATGCATTAAAGTAGCTCCTAGAGATAGATGAAAATCTTTTTCTTTTTTTTTTCTCAGCTGGTACTCACACACACATGCCTCCACTGAGGCTCAACCCCTAACCTCCCTTTGAGAAGTAGGGGTCTGATACCGCTAAATCACTGACATATTAGATCAAGATCATTTGATGAAAAATCCTCTTCTAATTTTTGAAAATATCCATTTCCCTAACAGACAACAATGAGTCTTGTTTCCTTACAGTCTCAAAATTTACACAACATCAATCTACTTTGAATATAATTATAGACAAGTTTCCTAACAACAATAGGAGAAGCATGCTTATTAAAGAAGTGCCACCGATTACGCTCTCTCCACAAGTGATAGATACACCTATTGAAGCATATCTTGTAAACATAAGGTTGATAAGATTTAGAGTGCGTTTGGATGGGATGATTTGGAGGAATAGGGAAAGAAAAGAAAAGAAATGATAGGGTTTAAGTGTGTTTGGGTGGTTTAAAATAAGAGAAAAAAAATAATATGGAAAGAGAGAGAGAATGAGAGAAGATAGGGAGAAAAATGATAGTGTTTAAGTAATACTTTCATAATCCCAAAAGTATCCTCAACAATTAAAAGCATATCTCTTCTATTTAAAAGAATATGATTGTAATTTAGTTGTTATCATTTATCTTCTTTTCTCTCCTTTATTAAATCCAAACAAAAATACTATCATTTCTTTTCTTTTGTCTTCTCTTCTATCTATCCAAATATAAATAGAGATTATTACTATCATTTCTTTTTTTTTTTTCATAACTAATATTATTTTTTTTTTCTTTTTTCTTTTCTCTCCTATCTATTCGAACAAAGCCTTAATTCTTGGAGTCCACGTAGATGTAATCCAATTCGAGATCGGTACGTAAGTTCTCCCCTTGGATATTATATGAGCAGTTCTTGACAAGTTTGGGAGTTTATGGAGTCAAAATTATTATCGGATTGGTTTATTTTGTATAATGTGAGTACATACATGTCAAGTGACTAGTTAAATGTTGGCTGGTGCCTAAGGTGATGCTTATTCCTATTTTCTATTTATTTATTTATTATTTTATCTTTTTTGAAGATGCTAGACAAACTGTTTGACCAAAAAAAAAAAAAAAAAAAAACGGTGGAATTGTTCAGGATTGGTCAGGTCCTGATATTATTTTTATTTTGTTGGAAATATATAATTTCTCCAAGGGATTGTAGAGGTCCAAATATTACCAAACTATGCGTATGATATATCTTTGTTAAATTTTGTGAATTTTGGGTTTTTTAGAAAATTTCTTAACTACTTTGCATCACCACTAGTAAACTGATTTTTTATAATTTTGTCTCATTAACTTCTTGACCTTGGAAAATTACGAAAATTAGACTCCCATGAGTCTACTTTCTAAAAACCCAAGTGTTGGAATTTTCTCAGTTCCCTATAAAATTTTAAGACCAAAGTTTGCCATACTGTCAATTTTCAGCTCAACCAGTATGGTCAGATTTTTTATCTAAAAAAACTTATTTCACTGGCAAAGCTTCTGCTGCTAGAGTGGATTGGTCACGTTACTCTTTGAGTATAATTTTTTTAAAAAAATTAAATGAATTTTTTTATTGTAAGCTGCGAAGATTTCCTTGTAGTTGAGGATTGTTCTTCTATTATTTAAACCTCAATTATCGTGCCCTATAAAATTGGGATGTAACAAATATTAATCGAAAATTTGCAGATATGTGTCCGATATTTCTTAAATATATCTATAATTTTAAAATATAATTTTTTTATTTTAAACACATATATAATACTTCTCAATACTGACCTCATATTCAATACTTCTCCAGTAATTCAAAATAATTTTTTTATAAGTTTTGAACATTAAAATGAAGACCTTGCTTGGATTGCATTTCTGAAAACTGTTCTCAAGAACAGTTTTTAGAGAATCAGAACAGAGAACAGTTTTCAATTTTTTTAGATTTCAAACCTGCTTAGTCAAGAAAATTTACAAAACAATTTCCGAAAAACAAAAACTCATAAAACTACTTGGTTGTATGACTTTTTGAAAATAGTTTGCTAAATTAAGAAAATAAATAAAAATATTATTGTACCTCACTCTTTTATTTCATTAATTTATGATATTAACTATTAATGTGTGTGTGTGTATATATATATATATAAGTGTTGGAAGTTAATTTATTGTAGCTAGTATTCTTAACTTAATAAAAGTTGCACAAATACAATATATCAAGTTTAATTAAAATTTCACTAAATTTATATACAATAAAAGAGTTACAGGAATTATTCAAGTGTCATATGCACTTTTAGTTATACAAACATTAATTTTAGTCATACATAACCAAAGCAAAACATTGGAGAATTACACAAATAACTAATCAAAGCAAAACATTGGAGAATTATAAAAGTAACTTCATCTAGCACTGCCTCTGAATGATGCCCACATTTCATTCTTCAGATGAGTTCTAAGGACTCCCATTTGTGCTGCACCATCATCAAATAAATTAAGTGCATTCAGTACACCAACATTGCTACTGCTACCATTCCCCCCATCAGCGACATTAACATCTTCTTCCCGATACTCCATAAAAAAAAAATCATCTAATATATTTTGACGAATGAAATTGTAAATCATGCAACAAACAGTTATTACGAGTAGTTGTCTAACCAACTTATAACAAGGCATAAGCTTTAAAATGGGAAAACAAGCCTTTAGTACATTTAATACCAATGAATCCTGCACTAATTTGTATGCTTATATATTTAAATCTTATGTGACTATTTCGTTACTTAAAAAAAAAAAAAACCTTTAATCAGGACACATATTTTGTGTTGCAAACTTTGAACCCTTTCTATCTTGGGCTTCTTCCATTAATAACTTTACATGAATTCAGTGCCTACAAACATAAACTACCTCATCAGGGGGTGCAAATTTTTTTTTTCCTTTCCCTGACTGTACAAGGATGAACTACACACTCTGTTAGCCTTGGCTTGTAGCAAAAATTACTTGTAAACAAATAAAAGGTGTTTAAATAGAATACAAGAGAAGCTAATGTAAGCTTTATGAACTACTCCTTCCTTTCAAGTAATCCTCTAGGGAAGGTCTGCTGCTTTGCTCCATGTTCCTAAAAAATGTGGAATTATCATTCATCCACACATTTCTCCCTCAATATTTTCAGTATCTGATATAAGAAAGAGTAAATCAAGGAATTATAAATTTAATAGGAATGAACTGTCCAGTAGAAAAAAATGGCAATTGTTATTAGAATTTCAACACTAAGCAATTTCCTAGCATATTCTCACATTATAGATCTTACAAATAAATAAATAAATAAATAAAAACCTAATTTTATTAGCAAACTGGAATATGAAAAGATTGTTTCCTTCCCGGAATTAGAACTCAATAGAACATGCATAAATCTATATGATTTATAAGACTATATAATGCCAATCATCATAAAAGAGAATAGTAAATACATGTTATTGAATATTTAGAAAGAATTAGCAAAACTTGAATATATCAAGAATACAAATGGGATAGGTCAACAAATTAGGAATATGTATTGTCCATCTGAATATACTATAAAAGCTTTAGAAGAGACGATCCAACTATCATAGATCAAAGCACAGTTCCACGACATTTCAACATTTCAATTGCTTGTATCATTTAGAAGTCATTGGCCTCAAATAGTGAAGACACATAATATAGAATTACATTCCAACATCAAGAGTAACAGACCAACTCATCAAATTCTTTGACAGATATGTTATAGACTTATAATTGACATTACAAATACAGTTATAGCCAGGTAAAGGAGAACACCACAGGAATGAAAGTGAGTTCAATTCATAAAATTTCATGTCATTTTAACCAAAATGAGTCAAAGGACTCGATAACATTTCCACCTATTGAGAAGTAAAAAGAACAGCAACCTTAACTCCAATAGATGGAAATGGAATGACATATAAAGAAAAATGGGAGCCCTAACTCCCTAATTTTTCTCAATTGTAAATTTTTAATTTTTAAAATGAAAAGAAAAAAAAAATCAAACACAACTGAAATACGGAAAGAAAAAATACAACCAACTAAATCAAACCCAGATCTAAAGTGTTAAAAACCATATAAAACCCACAAATCAAACAATTTCAAACCAACCAACCAACCAAATCCATCCATAGAACCAAATTCACCCAAACAAATCAAATAAAACTAACCAAATCCATCCAATCAATACAAATAATCAATTCTCAACCCAAATCAGAGTGTAAACAATCATAAATCGAAAACCCATAAATCTAAGAGAGAGAAAAATAGAAAGACAGAGAATTTTACCCGCACACAGAGATGATTGTAGGAAGAGAAACGCAGATCGACCTTTTCTGCCTAAGAGAAGTGCAAGAAACTGAGAGAGAGATAGCTTGAAGAGAGACTTTGTCAGAGTGAGAGAGCTTCAAGCCTTGAAGAGAGAGAACACTTGGTGCAACTGAGGAGATGTGGGTAATGTTATAAACGAGATATCTTACTCCCGTTCTTTTAAAGTGAAAAGATTTCTCCGTGTTTTCAAAGTGTGCGTCTTCTTGTTTCCCAAAACTCCCAGAACACCTTTTTATTGTTCTCCAAAAACTATAACTATGTTAACTCAGTTTTTGAAAAACTATTTTCAAAATACAGTACCAAGCAGCCTTTATTTGCAGTTTTGAGTTTTTGGTCACTATGAAAACAGAAAACTGTTTTTTTGTAGTTGAGGATTGTTGTTCCATTATTTAAACCTCAATTATTGTCCCTATAAAATTGGGACGTGACAAATACTAATGGAAAACTTACGAATACGTGTCTCATACTTTTTAAATATATTTATAATTTTAAAATATAATTTTTTATTTTAAACACATATATAATACTTCTCAGATACTGACCACATATTCAATATTTCTCCAGTACTTCAAAATAATTTTTTTACAAGTTTTGAACATTAAAACGAAACTTTTCCTACCATATCATCATAATATAATTTTAAAGAAAAGTACAAATTTTATTTTTTTAAAACAAACAAGCATTGATATATATATATATATATTATGAATTAATATAAAATTTAGAATTTATTAATAATTTCATTTAAATTCATAATTTCATAAAGGTTCAAGTGTGGACAAAATGATTGGATGTTTTATTGGGTAGGAAAAAAAATGGCAGCCCAACATTTCAACTTATTAGCCCATTTACCATATGTTTTTTATGTTCTCTAGTCTGCGCATGGTACGTGGTCCTGCCTTTACCTTAGGTCCAATAAGACAATTTCTTACAAACCCTTTCTATATGGTATAGATTGGTAGGTGTTACAGGGGAGTCTTGTCTAATAGGATTCAGATGGATAATGTAATAAGTATAAATGAGTTGGGTGTTAATTTTGTCAAATAATTTAAGTTTTTGGATCGAACTTGTTACAACTATCTGAACCAGACTCAATCCTTAATTCGGTGTCAACAAGCGCCTCACCGGATGCCTTTTGGGACAGTTAATTTAACCGTCCCGATTAATAATGAATATATAAATAAATATTATATTATTAACTATAATTTTTTTTTTTTTTTCATATGATAATTTTTAATTTTAACAACATATTTGTTATTATAATTATTAAATATTTTACTAAACTACAAAAAAAAAAAAAAAAAAATTACAAAATTTATCTTAAATTTATTCAATTTGAATTATTTTTCGTAAAAAAAATATGTATATGGAGGCGGACGAACCCTAATGTGAGATGTCACGAATCGAGTTTGAAAAAATATTTAACGAATTTAAAAAAGGGTATACCATTCTGATCCTCCCCCATTGACATCCCCAGACTGTATGGAATCATACGTCTTAACAAATCTTGAAGGAGTGCTTCTTCTTCAAAAGTCAATTTACATAAAAATATAGGATAATAAGACACTGGACATTCATATCATAAATTTCAAAAAGTAATACAAATTTACAGAATCATAAAAAATAAAAAAAAATTAAATAATAATAATAATAATGAGCGCTGAAAAGTGCGCATTTAAACCCCTTAAGTTAGAATATTCAAAGACTTTTATCTATTTTACTTTACCGTTTTAGACTAATTTCATGTTATTGTCGTTTTTAGGTGCTTATCCCCAAAATAAGTCAATTCAGCTAAATTAGAGTATAAAAGAAGCAATCTCCAACTGAATGGAAGAATGGAGCAAAGTGGAAGCAAAGTGATGGAAATCAGCAATCTTCGATCGATTAGGAATATTTTCAATTGATCTCACATTGATCGATCTCACCTCACCGAGTTGGATCAGACCCCTTGTCCTTATCTTCAAAGAAATTCCATCTTCGATCAATCCAATTTTCTTCAGATCGATCGAACTTCCTTGATCTTATCCCCACTTACTACTTTTGTCTTTTTCCCAAAATATCTCAGATTTATCTTATTCCAAAAAGGCGCCGCCAAGGATTGATCGATCTGGCCTAACTTTATTGGATCTGGCCACAGTTCGATCGATCTCATCTGAATTCAATCGATCGAACCTCCTCAAGTCCGAAATTAAACAGAGTCCAGTTCATTAAAAGATGGCTCATGGTGCAATCATTTAAGGGATCCTAGTTTAATTAGTTTAATTTAGATGTGAGGACAATTCATACTTGTTGTTTGATGTTCCATACTTATGAAGGCAAGTAGTATAATTCTCTAACTTGTTGGTGTGTTGATTATGAGCTTAAAGGAAAGATTAGTGGCTTAGTTTGATATACTGTGCTATTCACTAGGTTGTCTAAACAATGTATACTTAATTAATCAATCCATGCTTATTGAGTCAATCAATCACACCTCTTTGTATTGCAACACATGTTTCCCCTCATTCATTACACATTGAATGTCTAGAATGGTGATGTTTAGTGATGATCTCTAGATCCTAAGACCTCTCTCTCTTATTCTCTACCCTTTATTTATTTCAATTGCTTAGTATTGAATTCATTTACATTGTAGTTTAATTAACCAAATAAACACTTTTTTGATCACTCGACCCACTAATCCGACCTTGTTTTCATATTAATATAGCCCCTAATCCCTTGGGACAATATCTACTCACCCTAACTATATTAGTAGTTAGAGATAATAGTGGCACTTTATAAATTTAAACGTAACCACACTTTTATTAGAACTTTGGATGTTTAAAACGACCCTGAGAAAGAGACACACCAAATAATAATAATAATAATAATAATAATAGTAGGTTGACATCTAATGCAAACAAGTCACTAACATCCACTTCATGCTATTGGTGGAGTTTCTAATCCGGAACCAACCAACTAGCCTTGTCATACATAATCGCAGGTTAAATTGTCAAAATATTCATGAACAAACTAACTACTACTCACACTATTTGTGCATGCTTAGCTTTTGTGTCAGCAATATGGTATGAATCTATCTCATAAAATATGTTTTAGCGGAAATGATGTAGTAGTATATTGTTGCAGTAATATTGAGAACAAATACTTAAAAAATTATGAGATAGAATTGAATTATTATGCAATTATTTTTATAGTTAATTAATTTTGAGATGGTGGTGTAAACTGAAAAGCTAAGTATTAGTAAACATTCACCACTATTCTTATTAGTGTTTCTCCAGGCAATGAGTGAGCTACTAGCTACCTTGTAACTCGTTGAAATTTTAGAAAAGTTTCCCGATACTAGCTCGTCAAAAAATATATATAATATAATAGATGTTTATTATTTTTGTTTTTTAAAAATTTAAATTATTGTTCTAATTAACCTATAATATATTTTAGATTATATTAAATTTATTTTTTAAAATAATTATAAAATTACCAGTGTTATTCTGGAATTGTACAAAACATATTCCTGTATTGCATTGTGTCCGACCAAAAAAATAAAAATTTTATTGTTTAGGATACTTCTAACCGCATCCGACATGTATCCAATAACTTAACAAAAGTATGTGTTTTCTAATTGATTGGTTTAGTTACATTGTTCTTTTAATTCCTCCATTGAGTCCCTCAACAATTTAAGTTCATGCAAATCATGAACATTGATTGAAACTTCTCGCCCAGGACAGCCTTGCTAGCTATCTTTCCTCGTTATGTCAAATGTTTCGCCCTGTTTTCTCTCAACTTGTAATTCATTGAGGACTTGAGTGAGTTGTGAGTTGAGCTCATCGTCAACACCAGCATTTTGGTGAACCTCAATGATGGGGTGTGTAGTTGAGTTTTGTTTGGTGGAAGGTTTCGAATGAGGAACTGATGGACAATGCACTCCGCGGAAGTTAGGGTGGCCAAAGGAGAAAACTTCTTCCGCGGGAGAGAAACTACTCCAGCAAGGGTTATCTTAAGTGGTAAGTCACTTGGGTTGGAATGGCGGAGCTACGTACTGAAGGGCTATTTTGATTATAGTCCAGGTCAAAAAAAAATAATAATAATAAAATAAAAATTAGTATACATATGCAATACTACTCTTCCTTTTAGCCCGGTCCATTTGCAATGCTACTCTTTCTCTTAGCCTGGTACGTTTTGCAATTTTGGTTCCGCCACTGGTATGGTGCCTCATGAAGTATGAGGTCTAAAATTCGACTCCTCTTAAATACAAATACCTTCACAGGTAAATGTAAAAGTGAGGAGTCTTCCTGCCTTATATTTACATGCATAACCAATTAAAAACACGCGATCAAGAAATTCTCTACAACTCAAACAAAATAACTCAAACAAAATAATTGGTTTTCATTAAGAGATTGTAGTTCTCATTTTCTTTTTATGTATAATAATTAATCTTGATTTGGGAGTTAAAAAATCTTATCCTCTCAATGCATGGATCATTACTATTTAATATGCTATTGACTAGTTGGCACTATAAGAAGCTATTTGACCTTACATCTCAAAGTCAACTATCTTCTTTTCTTCTTGTTTTCACAAACAACCATCTTCTTTTTGATGTTTGTATTTGTTACAGCAAGTATGAGTACCTTTACTCAGAAGTCTCCAATTAGAATCCTTGTGGAGATATTTGGCAAAAGAAAATTTTTTGATTCAACTAAATCTTGTCTTTAGTTGTTTAAAAATTAAATTCTCTCCAAAAGGATTTGATTAGAATTAGCTTACTACAGCCTCAAAACCTTTTCTTTTTTTTTTACAATTTATAAATACATGTTATATATATAAATATCCTCTTTATATATATAAAAATTCTGATGACAGATAAAATTTGTTATAAGTGCAGCAACAACCCAGAAACATATAACAAGAAAAATGTGCATTTTTTTTTTAGGGACACACATCTTAATTACTAATAGTGAACCATAAGAATCAAAAAGTCCTCAACTTACAATAAAAAGTCGACAGTGGTTTTACTCAGAAAAATGATAAAAGTTTCGATCTATTTTTGTTATTAACTGTTTTGCAATCAGTGAGATAAACGTGTTAAAGAAATATGAGACTCTATTCTAATCCAAAAGTATAGGTTAAAAGGCACTATTTATTGGAATTGCAAAAAAAAAAAAAAAACAAACACTTAAGAAATAAGCTTCACTCAAAAAAAACATTCATATATAAAATTATCAGAAAAACCCATGTCCATATCCTAGGGTATAACCATGTGGTGTCATGGACAGACCAAGGCCACAAACTTTAGCATCAAGAGCACCACCACCAAGAAGCCCTCCATTTGAGCTAGAACCCCCCAAAAATGGCAAACCACTCAAACCCTCCTTTTTAATCTTCTCCTGCTTAGCAACATCCTTCTTGAGCTCCTCCATCGCCACCTTCAACTGCTCGAGCTCCACCGGTCCAAGCCCTTCGATGGGGCCTTCCCACCACCCCTTGCTCCTGCTAGCCTTCCTCACACTGCTAAGCTCTTCGCCGTGCTTCTTCTCAGCTTCCAACCGGTTAAGTACTTCGGTCAGTTGCTTGTTGAGTTCGCGGATACTGGCATCGCGGTGAGCCTCCACCAGTTGGAGTGTGGTTGAAGTAGTACTACTACTGCTTGATGGAGGGTTTCGAGTGAGGAAGCGATCCATGATGGACTCGACGCCAGGGTGGCCGAAGGAGAACACCTTCTTGCCCGGTGAGAAGACGACGATGGCCACTTCTGCACCGCAGAGGATGCAGAGCTCGCTCGCCTTCTTGAAGAGGCCGGAGCGTCGCTTTGAGAAGGTGACAAGTAGGTTGCTCTCTTTGGACATTCTTGTCATCTCAACCTTCTGGCGACCTTTGCTCCTTCTTGCCATGGTTAAATCCGAGAGAGAGAGAGAGAGAGAGGGTTGAGCAAATGGTGGTTTGTGATGAATGGAGTGAAACATGAGGGAGATTTAAAGAGGTGGTTTTTTCTGGCATGAATTTATTATAATTGTCAAAGCTGTGATGAATATATTTGCCTCCTTTTGTGGCTTGATTCTTTATGACCATCCTTGTATGTGATAATTTACTTATCTAGTTTGCTAGGAGATAATTAGGACCAGCTAAGCATGTGATTTGTGACACAGTGGGATATAACTCTGGAAGGAACATAAATGAGGTGATGGTAGAATATTGGCCAAAAGGGAACATAATCAATATGGAAGATGACTAAAGAATGGATGGTGACGTGTCTCACGTTGTCTCGGAAGAAGTTGGTTGTTGACTGATAGATACGTTTTGAAAATCGTAAACACGAAGATATCTACATCCCGTGAGATAGGTCCGATGTACACGTTTTGAAAACCGTAAACAAAGATATTTACATACCATGCGCTAAATCCTAATAGATAGTATCTGAGCTAAGTTCGAGAATAAACAGCTAGGAATGTTATCACAACGAAATTAAGCACCATTGTGACAGACTTTTTACTCAGCACAAAATAGGTAAGTGGTTAAACAAGGTGCATTTGGATACATATCCTTTTGGTTTTTTCTTTTCGGTTATCATTCCGAGACTTGAATTTAATTCCAAGACTTAAATTTTATCATAAAACTTGTACTTAATAATATGAAAAATTGGAAGAATCGATGATTAAAAGAAGCAAAAGGAAAGAAGAAAATGAGAATGAATTTATGGTGTTTAATTTACATTACCGTTTTAAGTTGTTTACCGCATTAGTTTATATATGTATATATATATACATATATATATATATATATATATATATATATATATATATATATACACATATATATGTTTATACATCAATGCAAAACTAGGTATTTCCACATATCTGGCTCATGGATGCATTTGGGAACTACAAAGAAGCTACGTGAGAAAATTTTAAGTTTGGTGCATCAAACAATTCCTGGTCTGGTCAGCATCTATTTAGTGTGAAAGCACATTGCCCTCTTTGTAGATGTCATGGTTAAGTGTCTCAAATGTACAGGGCCAAGTGAAAGCTCAATCTTTCACCTACAAGTGTGGCTCTTAAGAAATTATTTGTACTCGAAAATAATCGAATCTTAAACCTAAACCTAATACACCATCAAACACAAGTCACCAGACCCAAGCGACTTACGTCCATCGAACATTGTCCTCTCTTTTTCTTCTCTCTTCCTTTCTTTTCTTTCGGCTCATATATTATACCCAACACAACCTAAAATTTATTACCATACCTGAGAATTTTATCTAATGACTGACAACGTTAATGGATAGAACTTCACGAGCTTAAATAAGATAATAAGATAAGGCTTAATATTCAACGAAGAAAAAGAAGAAAGAAAAAAGAAGCAAGCTTTTCTATAGATCAATGTCCTCCAAGGTTCTCATTTCTCATCAGCCTACGCGCGCGCATAATGATTCACATCTATATGCATATGCATCACGTATTGTACGTATTGTATGTATGTATGTGTTGACAACTTGACATGCTTAAATATATGCACAAATGAAATTATTTAGATGTATGCATATATAAGATGTGTAAATGCACATGTATATAAATATTCATATGCATGTGTATAACATACGTAGATGGGTATATATATATATATATATTTGTAAATGCATCTATCCGTACATTAAGCATTCATATGTATATAAATTTTATCATACAAATAATATTTTACTCATCCTAGGAAACTAAACAACAAAATTCAAGATCTGAAGCCCAAATTCAATGCAAACACCAAAAAATTGTTTCATCCCTTTCACATATATTGAGCCTAAGAAGAGAAACATTGGACTTGGATTAGTCATTATATCAATATATACAAAGATTAAGGGTCTTCCACAAATTTGTTCTCCCAAGAATAATTCTGCATCAATTTCTGTTCTTGTAAATTACAACATTCTGGTTAGTTTGACAAATAAATATAACATCAATCAGAAAGATAAATACTGATTCATCTGCTTTCTTCAATTTCTGAGTTTGGTTGCCAAACCTCTGTACCAAGAAAGATGGGGCAATACTAATACCTCTATATTAAGAGGTTCTTGCTCTTCAGGGTTCGAGACATCGGGAATCCATATTTCCTCCGAAACCACATTATATCAATCCCAATAAGAGAGACGCTAAATCTGCATGCAATTGTAACAGGCAGACACAAAAGACAAAATCCAGTGGTGTGTGTGATCATTTACCTACGTATAACTGTTTTTGTACAACCAAAGATTTTCCAAATCTAGCGAATATGTTGAACTCTACAACCAAATTCCTGTTGAATTTCAACCATGAAATGCCATCTCTTGGAAACAAAAGGATGATCAAAATAAGAAGCAAACACGGAGGATTCAAACAAGGGTTTTAGACTACAGATGTCTTTTCCCACTATCCTTGAAGTCCATTGCTTCCGAGAATTGCCCATTGGTAGAGCTGATATAAAGGCAAACTTGTATCGAAGGCACAAACTCAAAAAGAGGAATCTCAGAGGAGGTAGAAAAAATAATGCAGAAAGATACGAGACCCAAAATTAGCAGAAGATGGAGTTATGAACTAAGGAATATAAGCTCTCATGTAAGTCTTGTTCAATGACTAGGATTCAAAGCCATCGCCCTAGTGAGGAAAACAAAAAGAAAAATGAATGCAGAACATTTTTCACGAACCAAAACGATAGTGGATGGAACATACAGAAGCTAATGCCAAAACAATCATTTACTTGTGAAGAGAATGACAATTGGGCATCCAAATTGGGAGGAGATGTGCAAATTCATGGGGAACACTACTGGTTCTGGTATGAAAGATCTTTTAGCTGTTGCGAATCCACCTCAGAGGGTGCACGAGTGAGAGCACACTGAGCGGTCGTCGTCTTCGGGAAAGCTATAACATCCCTGATGGAATTAGCCCCAGCCAACAGCATCACCAATCTATCCAACCCAAAAGCAATTCCCCCTACAAGAGAAAAAACAGCAATAATTAATTAAACCCTAAAATCTAAAACAATGATCAATTACTTAATAAAAGAGAGCAGTTGCCATGAACCATGGCTCCCAATTGAATCCATCTAGAGCCACTAAACTTCATAAAAAGTCCTGTGCACAGACACCTATGCATGAACCCCAAGAAATAGAGAATCAAATTGAAATGCAACTTTTGAGCTATCATTTCTGGCCTAAACACATGCCATAACAGTAAGGAACCTTCAGATGTAGGGGATCATATCCCAATTGCACTTAATATACCAGACTTGTCAAATTCATCAGATCATAAAAAATCTGATATACTGAAAAAAGAAAACTGTTGCCAATTTTTGTTTCTCAAATCCAATCTCTTGAAAGGCATGCCCAAGCTATGAATTGGAGTTTTTCTGACTCCAATACAAAAATATGAAGTTTGAATATCCATATGGATTTATTTCAAGACCAACAAATGTATCCTATCACAGCTTTACTATCTAATATATGATATTAGCATTCCAGACTACACAATTCTCGTGGCAGACATTGGATGTCATACCTGGACTGTTTATCAAGAGAACATAGGAAAGCAGATAGCCGAGCAATTAGAGATTTCCACTTATCAATGATACAGGATGAATTTTTTTATTTTATTTTTTATAAGTACCCATGGGTACTAGGTTCAATGTTGCCTAACAGCTAGACCGAATCAATGCGTGAAGGGGATCTAATGATTTAATAGGCATATACAGGATGATTAATTTCTCTCCACGAAACATCAATTTATAGTTAACATAGCAACTACTTCCACACATGCGTTGCATTTTAGTGACTTCAATTTTCTCTTATCCGATGGCCTTAATAGTGCTTCATGAAAAATAATCTCTTTGTAAATGCAGGAAGCATATGTGTTGCTAGAAGATATATACAACAACAGATGTGCATAAAATATAATATCATGTAAAATCCTACTACAATCTTATAGATAATAATGGATGAGGATAGGGTAAAGCATTCTGAACCATGTGGCGGAGCACCCATATCCAAAGCCTCCAAGAGATAGCCGAACTTTGCTTCAGCCTGCAGCCAAAACAAGACGTGACCCACATCAATAAGAGATCATCCAAATATGTTTAGATTGAGATCATCACACTTGATTATCTTAGTTCAACATAAATTGCAAGTCTGAAGTTATTCATTTAATCCAAATATAATAACTTTTTACTTGAAAAATTCAGAAGTTTTTGTTTCTCATACTTCCTCTACTTGTAAACCACTATCTTCTCCTATTAGAGAGGGTGTAACATTAACCATTTACATCTTTTTAAATGCCCCTCATGTGGGGCTAGATTTCGACCAACACGTGTATCAATTGTAATTATCTAGGTGACAATGAGTTTTAAACTCAGGACTTTGCCTAATACCATGTTAATCACCATCTGCTCCAAAAGCTTAAGCTGTTAAATAGGGCATAACTTTCTTTTTTTATATCCTATAACATTACTTTCTAAATTAAAGCATTAGCATATTCATATGATTACCTAGAACAAGAAGAGAACAATGATGTCTACAAATCTTTGTTCATCGGTTAAACCAATTTTAACTATGTAAACTAGCTTTCTAGATTCCAATTAGATAATCCAACTAATCCTACCTTCAACATGTCAACAACCACTTCCCAATGTAAAGAAATCACACCCCCTTTTCCTTACACCATAAGTATCCATGTTTTGAAAGAACTGATTCATGGTATATATCTAAAGATGTTAGTATCATGAGTATTTTTAGCCTATTGTAGAATAAAAAAACGAGATAACATAAGAAATGATCCAAAGATGACTATACTCGAAAATATGGTTCGACCTTCCCCTGGTATATGCTGTAGAAAGTAAAGTATAAATAATTTGCAATATGAAAAACACATAGCACCCACATAATAGCCATTATAAAGAAGCCTTAATGCTGTAGACAGTGAGATACAAATAAGTTACAGCATCAGGAATCATGTAGCACCTAAATAATAACCATTACAAAGCAGCCCCAATCAGAATGAGAAATAGGATGAGGATTTCCCCACCTGTTCACGGGAAATTCCAACAATTTCCAGAACCTTTTCTTGGACTGCACGCTTATAAATTCTCAAACTTCCTCCACCAATCTTGCAGCACCAAAGGAGATATACCGTGGCAAAGTTTGAGTATTCTCTTTTATACGAGTATTGACAGAAGCTCAAAATTAAGTTACCAGATAAATTATATCAATATATATACCTCAACTCCGTTGTAAACCATGTCATAAGCTAAAGCACGGGCAGAGGAAAGATCCTCCATGTCTTCAGGGTTTGGAGCAGTGAAAGGATGATGCAAGGCCTAGAAAAAAAAAATCTTTGATTTCATGAACTCAAAATAAATAAAGAAAGAAAAACACTAAAGAAAATGACTTGCAATAATGGAGTAACACCAAAACATATAAGCACGTTGATTCATTTACAAAGAATAAAGCGTGTCATAACTTGAGTCCCATCTTTATAAAAGCGAAAAGATTTCGCAGCAATGCATCATCAGCAGCTGACAACTGATATTAGGTAACCGCAGATTGATAAAACCTTGTTACTAATATTTCATATGGCAATAAAAAAATTTAATGCAACTTGGTAACTAAGTCAAAACAAAACCTAAAGTTTCCAACATTGTAATAGTACTATATATATATATATATATATATATATATATATATATATATATATATATATATATTCTATATGAATGCAAAATGCAGTTGAACTTGGACAAAGGTGAATAAGAGATCAATAGCATTGCTTTATTTAATAAATATCAAGGTTCCCACAAATAGAGATGTATATCACCATCAAAGTTGCAAGTAATAGGCATGTGACAAGCTTTGAGCAATGTTCCAGAGAGAAAAGAAACAGAAAATTATTAAAATTGTAATGATGGCAATAATCTAATTTAGTGGAATTCAAAAGTGCTTTCACCAAGTAATCTAATACGGGCCAATTCCCTAAAAGAAGCACAAAAGATTTGTAGTGATAACGTCCAGTTGAAAAATAGCATGACTATAACTACTTCCTTGAGTAGATATAAATAGAACTTATTGTATTAGAACCACGAGATATTGAATGGACATGAAAAATACCTCAAGCCTCTGTTCTGAACTGTTCCACTCAAACATCGGGAAATCAGTTACCCATAGTATTGAATGCCTGGACTAAATATCCATCAAATAAAGCGAACAAGGTCAGAGAGGGAGTGTGGTTTAATATATATTAATCCAAATAGAAGGTCTACCATAAACTTACATGATCAACCAGGCCCAACTCATGTGCTACATATATCCTCAGCCGGTCTAAGGTTTTATTAACTGATGCATGGTGACCCACTGCAAACAAGATAAGATCACCCGACCCAGCAGAGCATCGTTTTAGTAACAGGTCTTTTTTCGATGGTTGCAGACTCGATGCTAATGCAGGAATCCCTTCAACACCACCTAAAAGTTAAATTTTGAACCATCAATGATGAACATTACATCTCATCATGAAAATGTATATTGATAATTTAGAAGATCATATTTCATAGTTGTTACCATCATTCGAGACCTTCAGGAAAGGCAAACCCTTTGCTCCAGATTTGATTGCTTGATTGTAAATATCACCTTTTTTAAGAGCAGTGTTTGAATAAGAGTTTGCTCCTGAAGGCACACATAATGCCTTGATAATTCCCCCACTTTCCAGGGTATCTGCAAAAACCTTGAAGGGGGACTCCAAGAAAACATCCGATACCTGCAGTTCCAACAGAAATTAACAAATAATTAGTAAAATTCTTTTTAAAATAGGAAGGAAACTGATCGTGATATAAAGTCGATCACAAACTATCAATTCTCCATTCATTTGGCAATAACAATACAATAACACAATACTTCTTATCCCCCAACCCAAAAAAATTGGATTTAAAAGCACAACCTCACAATAGAGAGATAGTACATCAACTATTTAAACAAGAAGACCAAATTCCTTCTACCAGATACATTGTTAACAAATTTAACAGCAGTTCAACATTCAAGAGTTTGAGCCATATATATGAACAAAAACAAGTGAGTATCAAAGAGAAATGAAACTGAATATTGATTCAAAATTCAAAAGAGTAGACCTAAATGGGCGGTAATAGTGGAATTCAACCGGCTGACTCATAACAATCTACAATGAGGGTTACTTATAGACATACCACAGAAGTGTGTTGGTAAGAACACAGGGTACAACTAATACATTAAATTAATAGCATAATGCATCTATCATATCAGGTTGATAGATAAAATAAAATATATGCAACTCCATAGATGGTGAACAGAGTGATTACTAAAATTAGTGATAACAAAATTACTTAATTTAGACAAAATAAAATAGCAAGCATGATAATGGAATTGCTTCATGAATAAAAACATGAGCATAATGACCAATATTATTCTATGAACCCCTTCAGTATAATAATAAACTCAAACAAGAGAGACATGTAGGGATATCCACGCGCACACACAAAAACCCTACACAGACTGGTATGCTGATAAATCTGTAAATGCGAAAAAAAGTATTAACTAATCCAACAAAGCTGACCCATCAATGAATATTTCAGAATGTAACATCAGGATAAAAGAAAATAATAATAATCGTACAACAAAATGGAATTGCAATTTAACCAGTCTGTTATATTAGATGCTTGAGGTTGAACAGACTGCAGTTATCTATTGATGAAACAAGAAAAAAAACAAGGCCATGAAGTAACCATTTATTGCACACTAGAAGATCCTGCCAAAGCCCAATCTCAAAGAAAAAAGTCAACAAAAATGGTTACATCTTTCAACTCAAGATCAAAACGAATATCTGGCTTGTCTGAACCATATCGACTCATCGCCTCAGCATATGTAAGCCTTGGGAAAGGGTCTGGTAACTCGACACCTTTAATCTCTAGAAAAACCTGCAATAACATATTCAATCATGTCATAGTGTGCAAAAAGTAGATAGACATTGATCACATCAAGTTTCCGCAAATGTAAAGTTAAATTTAAAAAAAAAAATAATACTTTATGAATTATGAATATATAAAAAGATAACTGTGAAAAAAAACAATATATTGAATAACCTGTTCCTCCTGACAAAACTCCCATACACTGACTTTAACTAAGATGAAACAATCTCAAACTACGAGTAACTCTAAAGCGGGGTTGGCACCAGATTCTTAAAAATTATAATCAGCCTACGGAAAAGTTCATATCACAAGCCTGAACCCAGGAATGCAAAAACTGACCTGGCTTGGCTTGGCTTGGATCACGTCAGGTCAATAGCAGCCCTTGTTTCCACAAGATCATTACAATCTCATATCTAAAGTATTATTAAATTATCATCTTTTACAGGTATTTGAGGGTGAGTAATTTCAAATTTTGATTGGGTGGCAATTTTACTAGAAAAGTAGACAATGACCACAAAAAGGATCTAATTTCTAAAATTTATCTAATTTGATTTGTTGAAATGAAGTTGTTCAAAGGATAATGTGAGCAGTGTTGGGAAAAAATTCACTTGTTGATGCACCAAAATCCCCATCTTATTCTATTCCTTCTTTTATATGTTCTTTATTTTATCATTTAATCTTTTCATCAGTGTTCTTTTAACATCCAGTCAAAACACTCTATGTTCGAATTAAGAACATTCAGTTGGGTTGAATTTTTTAACCACTCTACAACGGACTTTGCTACCTGTCTAATCAAATCTTCATTGAGCCTCAGCATGTCCTCCAAAGGAGTGAAAGCCAGTTCCATATCCAATTGGGTAAATTCAGGTTGTCTGTCAGCCCTTAGATCCTCATCACGGAAACATCTGCAAAGAAAGGACAGAGCATGAAATTTTACCATGATACTGATTTGTAATCTATTATTGAACAGCTTTAATTTTTATTTTATTTTATTGTTTTGATAAGAAAATGAACAGCTTTAAATGAAAATCAAAGGCTCCCTTTGCAAAAAAAAGACACATTTTTTGTATAAGATTTATTTCGGTATTTATTATTTGTAACGCAAAGCTACCTAAATGTCATGAAGTGATTCCTAAGACGCTTAGAGGATGGAAGACACGCATGCTGGTTGGCAAAGAGCAAAGTTTGACTGGGAATGGTTCCAAGGAAGGGGCGTGCAAGAGCACAGGATGGTACCTCTTCAAAGTTCAAGCAGGTCGACTCGGTTCAGTTCGAGGTGCTTGTCGTTGGTCGTGGACTTGACTATAAAGAAAGGAGTTGGCCATCCCTGCACAAACTGGTCGGGAGCTGGAGCCGTTCCCCTGATGAGACCAAGGCAGGTCAAAACCAATCAGCATGTATCTTTGGGAGGGAAGGTCGTGGTGGCTGACCAGGGCGCTTGCGCGAGCTGAAGCAACGCCTTGGTGCCGCATAGGCCGTACCGCTGCGCCAAATCTCTAGGCCCGTGACAAATGATATCAGAGTAGGACTTGGGGTAAAGCACGGTGGGGTGCCCCTTTGTCGGTCCGGGAGGGGTCAGAGAATGAAGACAGTGCACTGAAGTTGCGTCGATGAGGAGGAATCAATGCAGTTGGGGGGAGAGCCTCCATCTCCCTAGGAAGAGACATCCGTTGAAGTTTTGCACTGGAGGGCCAAAGGGCCGCGCGCATCAAAGTTCGTGCTTAGTCCTTGGGTGATGCAAACCATGGTGAAGGGCGAGCATCAAGTCGGCAGGAGGCCCTTGCTTGCTCGGGATGTCGCGAAGGCAGCATGACGGAGAAGAGTCACGTCCTTGAGGAGTGGACGTCCTCTTGGTCCGAGGCCTATCATTGGGCGAGTGCAGTGCAGGGAGCTGCACAAGGAAGCGATGGTGGGAAGGCGAGCATACCGCTTGGAGGCAGACTTTGGAAGGGAGTGGACGCAGTGGTGAAGCGCCGCACTGCGACGAGGGCGTCGCAGTATTTGGGTGGGGGAGAGTGTCACGAAGTGATTCCTAAGACGCTTGGAGGATGGAAGACACGCATACTGATTGGCAAAGAACAGAGTTTGACTGGGAATGGTTCCAGGGAAGGGGCATGCAGGAGCACAGGATGGTACTTCTTCAGAGTTCAAGTAGGTCGACTCGGTTCAATTCGAGGTACTTGTCGCTGGTCGTGGACTTGACTATGAAGAAGGGAGTTGGCCATCCCTGCACAAACTGGTCGGGAGCTGGAACCGTTCCCCTGATGAGACCAAGGCAGGTCGAAACCAGTCAGCATATATCCTTGGGAGGGCAGGTCGTGGTGGCTGACCAGGGCGCTTACACGAACTGAAGCAACGCCTTGGTGCCGCACGAGCCGTGCCGCTGCGCCAAATCTCTAGGCCCGTGACATAAAGCTCACTTTATAAACATTAAGTAATGACAAAGAAAAGTGCATTTGACACAGGTGATGAGTTTATATTTTATAGTAGAAAACAAAATTTCTAATGTACAGTAGAAATAAGTAACAACAAAAAAACAGCCAGAAACCAAAAGAATTACTACCTTGCTATTTGATAATATTTATCAAATCCAGAGACCATTAGCATTTGCTTAAAAAGCTGAGGACTTTGGGGCAAAGCATAGAATGTTCCTGGCTTCAAAGTGCAAATTAGGGTGAATTAGACATGTAAACCATAAAGAAAGTATTCCAAGGAACACATAGCTTTCAAAATAAATTTATCTCAATGCATAACATTTTGTGCATTCAATTCCATTATAGCTAATCATCCCACTCTTGACATAAATAATAGGCATCAATAGTAGTGAGAGGTAGAGATATGCAAAAATCTTAGTCTCTTCTGCTTATTTTAATACCTCAGCAGGGAACAACTATATCTTCTTCAAGCATGGAACATAACATTTTAAAGTTCATTGTCAGCCTAGATTTAATGGAATGTATCTAGATACCCAACTAAACTATATTATGCATATAACACCCTCTTAAGGCAGCAAGCAAATGGGTGCCTATCTGAAGACATTTATAATAAGAAGAAGGAAGGAAAAGGAAAAGGAAAAAAAATGCATAGAGTTCATTTCTTTTCTTCTTCTTTTTTTTTTTTTTTTTCTTTTTTGATTTATTCGGATTTTGGGGGGTGGGAGGTTGTTTTTGCATCAATTGAAAGATTTGATCTACGCGGAGCATTTTCAAGCTGATATGCGCCTGGCAATACATTATATAGGCAAAAATGTTCATTATTCACACTTATATCTCACTGAATGAGACCTTAAAAAAGAAAGGGGAAAAAAAAATAGTGTTGGAGGATAGATAACGTGTAAATGATTTCCCCAAACAATTCACTAGACGCATGGCCTAAAGTAAAACTAGAAGTGAATAATTGACTATTTATGGTCGAGTACCTGAACCCTTGAGGGCACCAAATAATCCCGGGCACCTTCTGGAGTAGATCTGGAAAGTATTGGAGTCTCAATCTACCTTACAACCATGGAAAGGTCAGGATAAAAAAATAAAAAATAAAAAAGTATGAATAAAAGGTAAAAGCGAATTAAGAGTACTGTTTTAAAAGGAGAAATATAAAAATAGTTAAAATCTCTTAGTACCTCCACAAATCCATGTATATCCTCTAGGTACCTCCGAATAAGTTTCACCACTCTATGTCGCAACATTATGTTGAAATTCATTTGTGGTCGCCGTAAATCAAGGCATCGATACCTAACAATGTGTATCTGAGACCATTAGTAATACGCTAGCAAATATGTACATCAATCAAAATAATTTATCGTGTAAAGTAAAGAGGAAAAAGTGATTTGGTTTCTTTTTCTTATCCTACACGAAGGGAATGACCAAAACTAACATATAGTAAGATAGTTACAAGAGATGAAAGCATGTAACTTAAATTAAGATGTGGTTAACTGAGACTATGACCTTTTAGAAAGAGCAGGATTGTGAAACATGATTATATATATATATTCGGAAGGTAAGTACAGGTACGTATTAAAAGGCTGTATAACATAATACGAAGAGTTAATGCATTAAGAGGCTTGGAGTCTGGAAAAAGAAAAACATTAACATCTCAGATGAGTCAATGTCACATTCTAACTGGTTTAAAAAACAAAAAGTGAGAAACAATTGTATATTTGGACCAGTCAACAAGAAGAGGCTATCGGCTGGGTGAGGAGTCAAGTAGTTCAGTTATGTGTTCTTACTTAATTCAGAGAGCATTTTCTCGATTACAACGTAACCAAGCAGCACACCAGAAGTAATTTCCGAGTACAACTTTTTACTGAACAGATGGTAATGAAGAATCAGTTGAACAGAACCCCTCGAATGAATATGACAAATGAATAAATGATGGAATTACCTGAACAGATGGACAATGTAATAGGCCGAACTAAAAATAAGCTAAGCATATCAGAAAATCTATTTTCATTATATAATGAGAGCTTTTTTCAAGTGCTTGACTCAAAAGTATAATAGTATAGAATTCAGATGACAAAATGTCAAACATAAAAAATGGTTATCTAATGTATATGAGATCAACTTTAGGCTGATACCTCAAGCGGATTTCCTCTTTTGTAGAATCGTTTGCATCATCTGCAGTGGTAACCAAGAATGGTAACTTAGATCTCACCGAGTTCAATACTTGAACCTGCTCTGCAGAAACCTGGCTTGCATAATCAGAATCAAGATTAATGAAGAAAAGATTAACACCAAGGGATCGGAACAGGACAATAACCACATGCCAAACTCAGAAAAAACAACAATTAATCAGAACTCACATATAACCATCATCCCCATTAAATTTTACAGGAAACAAAACCCTTCCAAGATCGTCCAAACTTAAATTCCATGGTGCATTTTTTGAAAAGCTCAAAGGCAAAGAAACAAAATACTCTTGGATGTCTCTTAGAAGGTACCACTGTTCAGTATAAAATGAAGCTAGAACCATAGAAAATGAACAACAAACAGCAAACCTGACCCAAAAAACCATACTAGCAAGTAATTACATGAAGCAAGACATAACACACCTCTATCGTGCCAGTCTTCATTTTCTTGTTGACCGAGTCACTTGGTCGTGATCGAACAACGCCTTCCACCGCAATAACATACTCAAGTCTTGAGTCATTCACAACAGTATGAGCATCTGGAAACTCGTCAGGAAGTGTTGTGACCTTAAAATTAATAATGCCAACAGCAACTAAGAATAAAATCAACAGTAGTAACTTGGCAATATTAATATCAAAACCAATACAATTGCATATACACATAACAGAAAAGTTTGATCAAAAGTTGTTTGGCATAAAATAATCTGGAACCCAATAGACTACGAAATATCAGAAGAATACTATATAAACAAACTATGCATACTAATAATACATATAGGATGACACTGCCATCATTATTTCTTCCATTGAAGTATTAAAATACCATAATTGTTCCATTAACTACCCCAAAATATATATATATAGCATTCCCTTCAATTCAAATACTGTCCTTGTCACATCAATTTGTTAACAAACTTCTTGAAAATATGTATGTACATAGTCCAGAATCAATACATATATACACATTCATTTCCAATAATTCAAAATTAAAAAAATATTCCGTTCAAAACAACTCAAAGTTCAATAACTATTAACAATTCAACTAAAATAGTAAGAGAAATGTCATACCCACAAAATAAAAAAAAAATCTTTAGCCAGCATATATCTCTCCAGTTTAATTTAAACCAAAATGACCACCTCACTCTATCAGTTACACATGGCTTTGTTAAATTTACAAGCACCCTTAATGCAAAATTGTATTCACATGAACAAAAAGAAGAAAAAGAATAAAATTAAGTTTTTTTTTTTTTTTTTTTTTTTTTTTTTTTTTTTTCATTTCAAACCTGTACAATTCCAGTATTATCTCTGAGATTGAGGAAAGTTAGGCCCCCATGAATCCGGTGAAGCGCGACCCACCCGCAAAGCCTCACCCGTTTACCCACATCATTTTCGGACAATTCGCCACAAAGCCCAGTTCGACTGACCCATTCAAGGGTGTCTTTGAATGGGATTGGTGGTTGTTCAGAACTGGGTATTAGAACTTCTGTGGAAGAAGATTGAATAGAAGAAGCAGAAATGGATGAAGTGCTTCTTTTCAGAAAAAAGTTGGGTTTGTGGAGTTTGTGGAAGTTGAGGTATAACAGAGGGATGGGTGTGAGAGAGAGGGGTTTGGAACGGAGGGCTACAATGGGTAGGGCTCGGAGTAGCATGGACATGGCGATTTCGAGACAGAGGGGGGTTGATATCGGGAGGCTTATCTGTGAGAAAGAGGATGGCAAGGTTTGGTACCCGAAGGAATTGGGAAGGTGTATTTTTTTTTTTTTTTCAAGTGTTAGAAAATAGATTGGTAGGTAATTTAGAGTGCCCTCCGTCCTAAATATGAGTCTAAAACATAGGCTCCCTTAAAAGTATGGGAGAAGACAAATTTGTCCTTATTTTTTAAATAATATTTATTTTAAAATATTAAATTAGTTAAAAGATAATTATACCCTTACAATTATACCACAAATAAAATCCGTAATTTCATCATCTCTCCGACGAAGAAGTCATCCAAATGAGGACATCAGTCACCTTTGGTGCCGGCGGCGACGACGAGGGCTTGGAGGTTTCTCTGTAATTAAAGAAAAACAATAATGGCTTTTTAACAAAGGATAACAGAAGCAAACCAAAAATATAAAATTTGTGATATTACTAACCCCTTTCCTGGACCATGAGAGAGCCAAGACCTCACCACTGTGTCCATGGAATTCATGTAAAGGTTTCTCCAAAATCCGAAAGACTTTTGGTGGGAAAATTACACAAGCTGACTCCGTTGATTTCCTCAACCTCTTCATCCTACCAATTTTGTTTTTATCCACGTCAAGATGGGCAAATTTGGATAAATGATCCATTGAGAAGTACAAACATGAAGGATCAGTATCTTGAATGTCAAATTGATTTGGTCTCTCATACTCCATCACCTTCCAGACACGAACGACACTGTCTTCACCGGCACTTGCCAGGTACTGGCCATCGGGACTGAATTTCATTGTCAAGATTGAGCCCTTGTGTGCTGAAAATTCTCGTCCTGCATAAAGGGAGGACAATTCTTTTGACCTCTTCCCATGTAGATGAACCAGAACTCTTCGAACTCTAGTCCCCAACTCCAAGTTGAAATCACTCGGCTTCAAATTTTCTTCCCCTTGCCTATTGGTAATACGTGATAGGACATTTAATTTCTTAAGCCAGCCCCTCTTCACTTTCTTCTTCATATCCACCGTGTCACCGGCCTCAGCTTCTTCCTGTGATCTTCCAACCATTCGATGATTGCTAATTTCATCCATGACAATCTCTCTCTCCTCTTCCGAATTCTTGATACTACACTCGGAATTCCCCTCATCAGATATATCATCTTGTATCCATCCTGTAGCTTCAGAGCAATTCGACAAAAACTGGTCTAGTGCCGCCATCCGGCCCATCCTCGCCGGTGTCGGTGGTGGTGTAAATCAAACCCAAACTCGGCAACGATGGCTGCCACCGAGACCCGCAAGACCCAACAAACCCCGCCGGAGACGAATCCGAACCGGAATCGGACTCAAACCATGGCAAAGACAAGCTCAGCACCCCGTCACTGGAATTGCGCCACGCGCCGATCGACATTTTCTTGAAGAGAGCAGTCACGGCGTGTCAGAGGTCCTCTTTACCGCAATCGACGGCGATTGGTGGTGGTGTTGTGCTTGTGTGCGTGCATATATATATATATTAGAAAAAGGATCGCACGTGTAATAAATTTATTTGTAGATAATATGGTAGAAATTTATTGGTACTAAATTTTATAAAAATTATTTTATTTTTTTTATTAAAAAAATTCATAATAAATAGATAATACTTGCTAAAATTTTGTAGAAATCATTTTAAAAACTTTTTTATGTCAAATAATAAATATTTTTTTTATACTAATAATTCTTCTCTAATTAAATTTCAATAAATAAATAAATAGGTAATTTGTATTAAAATTTTATAGAAATTTTTTTAAAACTACTTTTTATATCAATTAATAAATAATTTTTTACATTAACAATAGTTGCCTAATTAGATTTCCTTTTATTAAAAAAAACTCAAAATAAATAGATAAATATGTAATTTGTGGTACAATTTTTCTAATCTAATTAGATTTTTTTTATTAAAAAACTTATAATAAATAAATAAAATGGTAATTTGTATTATAGTTTAATATGAACTCTTTTAAAAACGGTTATTATATCAATTAATAAATATTTTTATATTAATAATTATTGTCTAATTAGATTTTTTTTATTAAAAAACTCATAATAAATAGGTAAATAGGTAATTTGTGTTAGAGTTTTATGGAAACTCTTTTAAAACCTCTTTTTAGATCAATTAATAAATAATTTTTTATATTAATAATATTTGTCTAATTAGATTTTCTTTTATTAAAAACAGTTAATAAATAAATAAATAGGTAATTTGTGTTAGAATTTCATAGAAACTCTTTAACTACTATATATTTGTCTATTGTGATAGAGTTTTATTGAAAATAAAATATGTAATTTATGATAAAGTTTTATAGAAATTATTTTATTTTCTTTAAATATATCATTGTCTAATTAAATTTAATTTTATTAAAAAACTCATAATAAAAGTTAATTTCTGGTAGAGTTTTAGAAAAATTATTTTATTTTATATATAAATTAATAAATATTTTTTATATTAATCATCATTGCCTAATTAGATTTTCTATTATTAAAAAATTCATATTAATAAATAGATAAATAGATTAATTTAAATTTTATTAGATAGATTTTAGAGTCTGATAGAGTTTTTGTTTTTTTTTTTTTTTAATAAAAACTCTTTTCATATCAATTAATAAATATTTTTTTATATAAATAGATACTTAAATACTGAAACTCTTTGCACATTTAATAATAGTATTGATAAAAACTCTTTTTATATCAATTAATAAATATTTTTTTATATAAATAAATAAATACTGAAACACTTTAGATTTTCTTTTATTATTATGAATTTTTTAATAATAAACACTTTGGCAGAGCTTTTGTATTTTACTCTGAAAATTAGATTTTCTTTTTTAAAAAAATTCATAATAATAAATAGATAAATAGGTTAATCTGAATTTTATTAGGTAGATTTTAAAGTTTTATAGAGTATTTTTTTTTTTTTTATGAAAACACTTTTCATATCATTTAATAAATATTTTTTATATAAATAAATAAATACTGAAACTTTAGATTTTCTTTTATTAAAAAATTTATAATAATAAATAGATAAATAGGTTAATTTTAATTTTATTAGGTAGATTTTAGAGTTTTCCAGAGTTTTTTTTTAATAAAAAGTCTTTCCATATCCTTTAATAAATATTTTTTATATAAACAAATAAATACTGAAACACTGAAACTCCCTCCGCTTTTAATAAAATTTGTTTATATAAATAAATAACTAAATATTAAAACTATTTTGCAGAGCTTTTATATTCTGTATTTTATATATAAATAAATAAATACAGAAACTCTTTGGCGGAGCTTCTGCAATTCTGGGTCTTTGCCCTTCTGAATTTCTCTCTTTATATCAATTAATAAATATTTTATAATAAATAAATAAATAAATAGGTAATTTGTGTTAGCGTTTAATATAAATTATTTTAAAAACTCATTTTATATCAATTAATAAATATTTTTTATTTTAATAATTCTAGTCTAATTAGATTTCTTTTTATTAAAAAAACTCATAATAAATAGATAAATAGGTAATTTGTGTTAGAGTTTTATAAAAACTCTTTGAAAACCTCTTTTTATATTAATTGATAAATAATTTTCTATATTCATAATATTTGTCTAATTAGATTTTATTTTATGAAAAACTCAAAATAAAAGCTAATTTGTGGTAGAGTTTTTATAAAAAATGAGTAATTTGTGATAGAGTTCTATAGAAATTGTTTTATTTTCAATAAATATATCCGTGTCTAATTTAATTTAATTTTATTAAGAAAATCATAATAAAAGCTAATTTGTGATCGAGTTTATAAAAAAATTAATTTATTTTATATATGAATTAATAAAAAAAATTATATAAATAATTATTATCTAATTGTATTTTCTTTTATTAAAAAATTCATAATAATAAATAGATTAATAGATTAATTTGAATTTTATTAGGTAAATTTTAGAGTTAGATAATTTGTGATAGATTTTATAGAAAATTTTTATTTCCTTTAAATATATAATTGTTTAATTATATTTTTTATTAAAAAAACTCATAATAAATAGATAAATAGGTCATGCATGTTAGAGTTTTATAGAAAATATTTTTAAAACTCTTTTTATTTGAATTAATAAATATTTTTATATTTTAATAATTTTGTCAAATTAGATTAGCATTTATTAAAAAAAACTAATAATAAAAGGTAATTTGTGATAGAGTTTTAGGAAAATTATTTTATTTTATATATCAATTCAAAATATTTTTTATATTAATAATTCTTGTCTAATTAGATTTTTTTTTATTAAAAAACTTATAATAAATAAATAAATAAGTCATTTGTGTTAGAGTTTAATATAAACTCTTTTAAAAATTATTTTTCTATCAATTAATAAATATTTTTTATTTTAATAATTCTTCTCTAATTAGATTTACTTTTATTAAAAAAAAAACTCATAATAAATAGATAAATAGGTAATTTGCGTTAGAGTTTTATAGAAACTTTTTTGAACCTCTTTTTTTATCAATTAATAAATAATTTTTTACATTAATAATACTTGTCTAATTAGATTTCCTTTTATTAAAAAAACTCACAATAAATAGATAAAGAAGTAATTTGTGTTGGAGTTTTATAGAAACTCTTTAAATATATCTTTGTCTAGTATGATAGAGTTTTAATAAAAATAAAATAGGTAATTAGTGATAGAGTTTTATAAAAATTATTTTATTTTCTTTAAATATATCATTGTGTAACGACCCGGTCATTTTTCTTCCTTTCCCTTTTTTTCTGAAATTTCATTTCAGGGGTGTCTAAGAAAATATCTTTTGGAAGATATTTTCATTCTGGGGCAGTTTCGCAGTTAAACCTTTTTGTATGAGACATTGTGCAATTAACGAAAGTTATTGCAAAATGTCTCGTCTGGAGCCTGGATTCTCGTACGGGATTCATTTTCACATTTTGTTGGGTCATTGACTCTTGGAATTTCTTTCTGTTCGTTTTTATCCAGTTTCAGAGTTTCTTGACCCCGGTTGCCGTCGAACTTGTTCGGGGCATATCTCTTTGCTCGGGACTCGCTTTTCAACGCCGTTTCTTCCGTTATTCATATTTTCTCATTTTGAATCTTTTTTGTTCACGGATTTTTGCCGTTTGAGTACGTTTGCTCAAAATTCACTTTTCCGAACCCGGCGGGGCCCTTTCGGGGCACTTTTTTAGACTTATTATAAATAGGGGACTTAAAGAAGAAAATTCAAATTTTCTTCATCTTCTCCACTCTCTTGGCCGACAGCCATGGGAGCTCCTTGGCTGCCACCCTTTCTCCTTCTCCTCCACTTGATTTCCTTAGTAGAATTTATATGGCCTTTACATTTATTGTTCCCCTCGACGTGCTCTACCATTCCTCCTTATTAGAATTCGTTTCTGACCATTTCTTGAGTTTGGGCTTGAGGTCAAGTTGTGATTTTCATGAGGCTTCTTAGGTATTCATGTAGATCGTGTTGTCCCCGACAAAACCTAGGAGTTTCGGCGGATTCAGAACACTTTTTTTTCGGTGGTGATTTAAGGTTTTCATCTCAAATTGAGGTAGGGGGTGTTATAATTTACTTTCTTGCTATATTACATGCTTGTGATGCTTATACAACTTGATTACATGCTTGAATCACAAAATCTAGAGATTTAATTATTTATTTTTCTTGTGAATGATTTGATTTTCCCGGTTGATTATAGCTTTATTTAAACATGTGGTACGATAGAATATTATCCCTTGACATGTTAATTGACATATATTAAATCTACCTCATTTGGACAAGTATTGGTGATTTTATTTAATATTTATCTTAAAAAAAATATTAAATCATGTGGCCTTAACTAGCTTGAAATCATTATGTGTTAGCATATTATATTAGGCCCTAGCATGCTCTGTAACATAGGTGAATTTGAGAGTAATCGGAGGTGTTTTAAAATCTATGGATAATTAATTAAATTGATTAATTAATTTGCTCCAAGTGCACTATTCATCTCATTGGATTTCGATTTGATATTCTTGATGTACATGCCATGTAGTCTCACATATATTAAATCTAGAATATTTGATTAGGTTTTGAAACCTTTCATTTAATTAATTTCTTTATTTAAGATTTAATCCTCATGATGATAAACAACTTGGAATTTAAGTGTGGTATGCTAGTAATTTAGGCCTTTGTATACTTGTTAACATATATTAAATTGACATCATTTGAATAAGAATTGCAAAGTTTCTTTAATATTTTTCTTTTGTGAAAGTTTAATTCACATGGTTATAACTTGAATGAAATAAACTTATAATGTGTTATTACAATAGGCCTTGGCATGTTCCCTAACATATGTTAACTTGAGAGCATTTGGATAAGTCTAAAAATCTAAAGATTTTAATTAAAATGATTAATTAAAATCTATTTAATGGTTCCCTTAGCTTAATTAAGTTTTTAACTTGATAT